AGAACTGCTCTTTTTCAAGGACAGCTCTTATCAGAACTACAGCTTGCCCAAGGTCATCCAGCCAGGTGCAAGTGGAGGAGTGGGGAATCAAACCCGGTTCTCCCAGATTAGAGTCCACACACTTAACCACTACACCCCATGGGAGGATAAAGCTGAAGAAATTAAAACTAGATGGAAGACCTATCTAAAGTGGATAGCATTGGAAGGAAGACAGGACATTCAGTGGAAGATTCAGACTTTGTGCCCGTGGCTGTGAATAAAGTATCAACAAACAAGGGGTAGAGGGAGGGAGGGGGGAATTTAACGATTTATGTAAAGCAAGGAGACAAAAGATACGATGTAATATATAGAAAACTTACAAAAATAAACTTTTTTTTTTTTTTTTTTTTTAAAGGTAAAGGTTTCCCTTGCATGAAAGCCAGTTGAATCCGACTCTAGGGTTGCGGTGCTCATCTCCGTTTCCAAGCCGAAGAGCCAGCGCTGTCCGAAGACATTTCCGTGGTCATGTGGCCAGCATGACTAGACGCCAAGGCGCACGGGACGCTGTTACCTTCCCACCGAAGCAGTACCTATTTATCTACTTATCTATTTCTTGCTTTCGAACTGCTAGGTCGGAAGGAGCTGGAACCAGAGACAGGAGCTCACTCCGTCTTGCGGCACTCGGGTCTCAAACTGCTGAACTACCAACCTTCCAGCCTGCAATTCAGCGTCTTAACCACTGAACCACCGCAGCTCTTAAAAGAAGTACCAAAATATAAATAAAGATTAGATCAACAAAAGGAGAGTTCGCATTTTAATAGCGAGAGTGCAAGATAGAGAAGGGTGTGTGCGTTCTTGTGTGAAGCCCTTACACCAAGTAACAAGAAGAGAAACGTTATGTTATGTTTGTATGTTGAGGGACACAATCGCTGGTAGGCTGACATGCGACAGGAGGGAGGATGATGAGAATGGGCAAGGCCAGTGCAGCTGGAGACGGGTGCTTGTGTAACAGGCTGCGGAGAGTTGATAGAGGAGGTCTGAGTGCAACTGAGGGAAAGTTAAAGCCCCACACCAAGTCCCGGCCCCCTCGAACTGTGCCACTTCCTCATGCCCTTTCAGATCCATGCTTGCCCCCCTCTGTTTGACGGCTACTCCTGAGCACTGCCTCTCCCTTCTCCGCTCGCCCAACTCCGCCCTCCCCCTCCCCCCTTTCCTCTCTCCTTCTTTCCACTCATGCACATTGTTTTGGTCGCGTCTGCGGTCGAATCTGCATTTGCATTTTAAAATCAGTTTCGTGCTTCTGTGACGCCGTCCTTCTCTATGCTCGTTTGAATGTTGTTTGGAGAAGATTCATTTAAAGCCGTGCGGAGGCGCAATGACAGTGGAGCCGCCACGAGAGGGCGATAAACATGTGCAGACATGCAGAAGTATGCCAGCACTGTTGAGGTGTGAAAACGAAACCAAATGTAGACAGCTTTTTTTGAAGACGGAGTCAGAAGGCTGGGACACCTTCATTATACAAGCACCTTGCCCCAGGAACCTTCTGTCAGAGAAATTCTTGCAATTAAGTCATGATACATCAGTGAATATTATGGATTTTTGATACCTACTAGTTGAAAAGACAGAGCAAGAGTTGCTGTTTTCATTCACTCTCGGAAGAACAGTATCGAAACGATAGAGCATTCCGGAGACCATCGTCAACACATCATTTTCTATTGTCTTGTATATTTATATAATTTTCTGCACACATTTTTGTACAATTTTCTGATTATTATTGAAATATTATCTAGCGCAGTTACCTCACAGTTTCTTTCTTCTTTTTGCGGTCTGTTCTGTGACTGTGACCATCATTTTTGAGCCCCATTCATGATAAACCATTGGAACCTTCTCCAACTAGCTGTAAGGACTAGAAAGCTCCTAGTGAAAGACAAATAGATGTATTGTGATAAATGATTATAAATGATTGTTTTATCTTGTTTTTAACTGTTTTAATTATTGGCATACATGCCCAGTCCCTGAACCACCCTGAGCCCACTTGCGGGGAGGGAGGGCTATAAATATAATAATAAAATAAATAAATAAATAATTTGTTAAAGGACTTAACGGGTTTTACATGCATGCTGTATTTGATAGTCATTTTATATATTTCATTTACGCTTGTGGTTGTATGAATTTAGTTTGAGTTAGTTTGTTGTATTAGAGTGCTGGCTTTTTGCTGTGAATAAATGTGTTGTTGTTGTAGTCACACTGTTCCCTCTAAGCTGAGTTAGTGTGAGCTAGCTCCCAGCTTTTTAGCCTTTGGCTCACACATTTTTGTCTCAGCTCAAGAAGGATGGCTCCAGAGCAGTGTTCCCTCTAAGCTGAGTTAGTGTGAGCCATAGGCGTAATCTTCGTGGGGGCGGCGGGGCATTAGCCCCCGCTGAAATTTTCAGGAAGGTGCTCAGCCTCCCCTGGGAGCCACCCTTGCTCCTAGCAAAGCAATGCCTCTGGCCCAGCCCCCCCCCCCCAAATTGGAAAGTCTACACCCTTGGGTGAGCTAGCTCACAGTTTTTTAGCCTCTGGCTCGCTCACACATTTTTGTCTTAGCTCAGTACGGATGGCTCCAGAGCAAACTAAATGATGCAGTAGCCAAATCACTCGCTCACAACTTTAATGCCAGCAGCTCACAAAGTAGAATGTTTTGCTCACAAGACTCCACAGCTTAGAGGGAACATTGCTCCAGAGCAAACTAGTTTATGCAGTAGCTAAATCGCTCGCTCACAGCTTTAATGCCAGCATCTCACCAAGTAGAATTCTTGCTCATAAGACTCCACAGCTTAGAGGGAACATTTTGCAGATGATTTCTTTGACGTGCAGGGCGAATATTCATTCAGAAATCAACCCCACGGATTGCAAAGAGCGGGTCGTCTAGCTAACAGCCCAGCCCTCAGCGGTACACCGCTTTCCTCGGATCTAGGCGCGGCCGACCCCGCAAAGGATGCGATTTTTGCTTCGCCCGACGCAGCGACGACGCCTTCGCATCGCACACGGCGCGCCTGGAGCCTGTCCGGGGATGACGCAAGAAAAGAAGCGATGCGCAGCAGCCGCCTGTAGGGGGCAGTGGCGCCCTCTCTTCCGCGGTCCGCCGGGCAATGGGAGGGGACGCCTGGCTCGGCTCCAGGGTCAGGAGGAGGGTGTCTGTAGAAGCAGAGGGCGGAGATATAACGGGGCGGAGGGGGGGGAAGCGAGAAGGAGCCTGGTGATTCCAAGGGAGGGGGGGGAAAAACCCATAAAATTTAAAAAAAACAACCCCGCTCAGCGTCCGCTGTCTGCAACAGCAGCTGTCCCCGCCGCTCTGCAAATCCCAGGCCGGATCCGCGCAGAGCCGCCGCGATGGGAGTGGAGGGCTGCACCAAATGCATCAAGTACCTGCTCTTCGTCTTCAATTTTGTCTTCTGGGTGAGTCTGCCTCCCGCCCGTCCACCCGCTTGCCTGCCCGGGGGCCCGGCGGGGAGAGTTCCGCGCATCTTCTCCGCCAGCCTGACTTTTCCCACGGTGGCCCGCGATTGCCTCCGAGAAACCCACCCAAACAATGCAGCGGGCGGGCTCCGGATGGAGTCCGGCCGTTCCTTTCGCCTCCCGCGCTGGAGAGGGAAGGGAAGGATCTCTCCTCTCTCTCCTTCTCCCTCTTTCGGCTTTCCATTTCCACCTGACAGTCGTGGGAACCTGGGGGGGTTGAGGCATGGTGGGGAGATGGGAAAGGCAGCCGCCCCGTTTTGGCTTCTGGTTGCAGCTCTGCTTTCGCCAGCGCAATGAAGGGGGGGGGGGGGGGGCAATGTTCCCTCTAAGCTGTGGAGTCTTGTGAGCAAGAATTCTACTTGGTCAGCTCCTGGCGTTAAAGTTGTGAGCCAGCCATTTGGCTGCTGTATAAATTAGTGCGCTCTGGAGCCATCCCTTCCTGAGCGAAGACAAAAATGTGTGAGCCGGAGGCTAAGAAACGGTGAGCTGGCTCACACTGACTCAGCTTAGAGGGAACGCGCCGTGTGTGTGGTCCCGCTTTCAGTGTTCCCTCTGAGCTGAGTGGGTGTGAGCCAGCTCACAGTTTTTTCGCCTCCGGCTCACGCGTTTTTTTGTCTCAGCTCGGGAAGGATGGGCTCCAGAACAAATTGATTTATGCCGCAGCCCAATCGCTAGCTCACAATTCTAATGCCACTAGACCACAAAGTGGGATTTTTGCTCACAAGACTGCACAGCTTAGAGGGAACGTTGGTTGCTTTGATAGAGCCCCGAATCTGGTTTGAGCGGCATGTTGCTCTTTGAGAAGGAAGGCGGCGGCGGTGGTGGTGGGGTTTATGCCTTTCTGCACAATCCCATGACACGGCCATCTTTTAACATCTTTAGTAACATTGAAAGCGAACCTTGGCAGCCGCATCTGGCGTCAAGTCCGCGAGAGGTCCATTCGACGTCGCCCCTTTCCGTTTTATTTGAAAGCCCGGCTTTAGCAACTTTGGTGGATAGAGAGTGTTGGGGAGGGAGGGTGGCTTTTGCGCCTTGCGCAGGTCGGGACTCTGAGCAGTGTTCCCTCTAAGCTGAGTTGGTGTGAGCCAGCTCCCATTTTTTTAGCCTCCGGCTCACACATTTTTGTCTCCGCTCAGGATCTTGAACTTTTGCCAAAGCCCTTTCCCCCTGAAACCACGACTGACCCCCCTCCCCAGTGTTCCCTCTAAGCTGAGTTCGTGTGAGCCAGCTCCCAGTTGTTTAGCCTCCGGCTCACACATTTTTGTCTCCGCTCAGGATCTTGAACTTTTGCCAAAGCCCTTTCCCCCTGAAACCACGACTGCCCCCCCTCCAGTGTTCCCTCTAAGCTGAGTTCGTGTGAGCCAGCTCCCATTTTTTTAGCCTCCGGCTCTTACATTTTTGTCTTCGCTCAGGAAGGAGGGCTCCAGAGCAAACTGATGTATGCAGTAGCCCAATTGCTCGCTCACAACTTTAATGCCAGGAGCTCACAAAGAAGAATTTTTGCTCACAGGACTCCCCAGCTTAGAGGGAACATTGGGGGAGTGTTGCTGTTGAGGGGAAAGAGGGGTTTTTTTTGGGGGGGGGACGCCACGCTGTTTGCTTCTAAGAGGGGATCCCAAAAGCTGTTGGGATGTTCAAAAGAGAACCTGTATTTTAGAGTATTTTAAGCGTACGTGTAGTCCTGAACCCTAGGACGTGCTTATGGGTAGGGGGAAGCATTTCCTGTCTGGGAAACAGTTTTAGAAGAGATTTTGAGTCAATGCTCCCTCTAAGCTGTGGAGTCTGGTGAGCAAAAATCCTGCTTTGTGAGCTACCGGCCTTAAAGTTGTGAGCGAGTGATTTGGCTAGTGGTAATTTAGTTTGCTCTGGAGCCCTCCTTCCTGAGCGAGGGCAAAAACGAGTGAGCCGGAGGCTAAAAAAACTGTGAGCTGGCTCACACGAACTCAGCTTAGAGGGAACACTGGCAGGGGGGTCAGTCGTGGTTTCAGGGGGAAAGGGCTTTGGGGAAAGGGTTATGGCAAAAGTTCAAGATCCGTGTAGTAAAAGGTTGGTGGGTTTTTAAAAACACACACAAAATAAAATAGATTTAAAAATGATGGCGTGACTGTTTCTGTTTTGAAAGCATTCTGGAGAGTGCCTTGTTTCCCATCCTAAAACAGGTGTGGGTTTTTTGGGGGGCGGGGGTGAAGGGTTAGTGGGTGTGGAGTGTATGCTGAGATGTGGGGTGGAAAAAGAGCTTAAAATTATTCGTGAGAAATAAAGTTTTTTTTTAAAAAATGGATGACTTACAGTACTTTTCATAGTTCCTTGCATGATCTCATCTTTCCTTCTTGGCTGGAGAATTTTTGCACTGACCACACCCCACATCTTGGGAAGATTTAGGCATCTCTGCATTCCCTTGGTTTTGAGTTGAGATTAATTTGGAATCTTCTGTGAGTTGTGCATCTGCGAAGACTTTTTTTGTTTTAAGTGTGGTTTTCTCAATGAATATATGAAGATGAATACAGTATGAATGAATAGGGTATGGGGGGGTGGATCGGGAAAGGGGTGACCTGCTGCAAAAGCAGCTGTCGCCCTCCTCCTCCCTAAATCTCCAACGTTGTCAGTGGAAACCACGAAGAACATTTTGTTCCAGACTGCATTTGAGTGCTGACTCCTGCCTGGAAATATTTCTGTTCCCTACATAATTTTTTTTCCTGTCAGTGTCCACTCTCATAAAATGTGCCGGGGCCAAGGCCTTGGGTGCTGTTTTAATGGCAGAAAAGTGGGACATACAGTTTGTAAACAAAAAGCACATCCTCTGTAGGACATTTTCTGGAACCTTGAAACAGCCTTTTCTGAACCTAACTGCTATCCTTTCCTCTTAACGCCCTGTAGTAGTTGTCCTGTGCACTACTGCTGACAGTCAATCAGTAACTGAACCACTGCCAGGGGTCATTTCATAGAAAAAGAGGTGCAGGGGCTCATTAGCATAACTTATTTGCATATGCCACGCCCCCTGACATCACCGGAAGTGTGTCAGAAGGCAACACCC